CGGTTGTCGTCGTGAAATTTATCTGTAAAATCAGCGCATATTTTCCCCCCAAAAATGGCGATTTAGGGTGGTCGTGTTAAAACGGCATTTTCTCAAAGTTAAAAAAGAATTTGACCTAAAAAAATATATGGTGCATTTTCCGATATAGTAAGGTATATCTGGGCAAAATTTGAGCAAAATCGATTTTTCAGTCGTGGCCGCTTTATGTTTGATTTTTGTGGACATCCTCTCTTAAATGTCCTATCAAGCTTAAAGAGCACCAGACTATCCCAATAATATCAGAGTAAACCCTTCGAAAACTCATGGGATTTAATGTTGCAATGCGTTATTTTTATTTAAATATTATATCGAATGCCACATGTTGTGCTTTTCGTGAGTTTAAATGCCAAGGGTTTTAAAAACATAAAAACAAACTCTTATATTGGACACTCCGTATATAAGTCCATATAAAGGTACTTACGAACGAAATAATGTTAGCTAATTAATGTAGGCTCGAGGCTTACATTTGGAAGTTTACTATATTTAATATTTAATATATTTGTTCAAATTTGACTTGCTGTAGCAACGACTTCACTTCGAATAAAATCGTGCTCTAGCTAATTCCTTTCTATCATTATTATATATATGGGTAACAGTTAGGTGTTACGTGTCTCATCTTCGGGTGAAAATCAGGTTGTCCAATTTTAAAGAACACCCCAATTTGTAGTGGTAAAAATAGTGTCCCCTATATGAAGTATTGTTCTTAGTTTTTGAAATATTTTCTCAAACATTAGGGTGTGATGCAGCATGCGTGTGAATCCTAGTATGTAGTTCACACAATAACCATGCACTGAATTTGGTATTTGTAGGCACGGACAAGACATGAGCTTTATAAAAACTACAAAGATGTAACTGATTCAATATTATGGTTGCTTAGCTACGCCCAAAATCTTAACATTAAAGGTAATATTCACAAGTCCTATACAGTTACAGAGCAGCAGATGGTGGTCAATTACAGAAGTGCTGATTCTGATAGGAACCAGCAAGTTAAAATATTATTTCTCTATTATTAAAATATTGTGCTTTAAATACTTATAGTTTTGGAATCGAAACGTTTGATGCAGATGTTAATGGTGGAAGATGAGGAAACGTCTTTACTGATACTTGTTCTTATACACTGTATATTGCGACGAGACAGGTAAAGCTGAAAATTGTAGGGGACGCAGCTCAACCTAATCGAGTCCAAGGCTTCCTAAGGGCGCCTCTGGAAACCACATTATGACTCATGTCTTGATCACGCAGCACAGCTACACCTAAACTTAAGTCTATTATTCTTAATCCTGATCACAAACTTAATAGCTTATTACCAGCAAGATATAACACGAATTATAACCTGAGAAAACAAAGGAACTTCAACCCCCCCACAAATCATGACTAATAGAACAATGAATTCCTTTATCTTCTCTATGTGTAGCGCATGAAACTTACATACAATTATTAGTGTAAATTAGCCTTTTAAACTTTTTATCGTAATTACTATTATAATAGTCATACAATTGTTAGAGTAAAATACACATACAATTATTAGAGTAAATTAACCTTTTAAACTTTTACTGTAATCACTATTAAAATAGTAAATTATTCATGTAATATATCAAAATTTCTTGTCCAATTAGCAAATTGTAAATTACGCAATTCAGCTGTAAAGCTGCGATGTAATTATTTTAATAAATCCAAATCCAAATCAAAACTACCCTGTCAGCACTCTCTGTGGGAGTAAACCGGAGTACCCGAAGAAAACCCACGACGTTGAGTTGACTAATTCATTTCACTTAAATGTTATCAGTCCGCAGCGAGAATCAAATGCTAACGCCTGTATTCTAAAAGCTCACTCGCACTCAAAGAGTGGAGGTTCAATCTGAGCTTTCCTTGAGTGTCAGTGTAGTTTTTGAATAGCTGGAGGGTTAGTGTCGTACCTTATTATGTGACTATACTCACTGACACTCAAGGGGAGCTCAGATTGAACCTCCACTCTTTGAGTGTGAGTGAGTTTTTAGAATACAGGCGTAAGGATTGCGCCACCGAATTAGCCCCATTTACATGCAGTAAAGTCGCTAGTTATTAGACAGTATATTATAGTATTTTATATTAAAGTAGTTAGATGCATCCATATAATGAAGAATTAATTAACACTAAGTACTTATCATTGAACATGACCTATACGTATTTGGGTTCGTGTGTTTTAGGAGTGTTTTCGGGACATTGAGTGAAGAAAAGCGAAACAGTTTACTTGATGAACTTATCTACAAAATATCTGCTTCTGAAGATATTTCAGTTGGAAGGTAAAAATCAAGTATTCAATGTATGATGTTTCTGGCGGTTCACAAAAATGACTTGGATATTGACAATGAAGTGCACTGCAAAAAGAAACATTTTATTTCTGTATATTATTTTACGCAGGAATTTGATTTTCAGAGGAGTATGTCTCTAACAAGGCCCCGAACCTAAATCATCTTCATGTACCTGTATTTGTTCAAAGTCTACGTTGATTGCATTTACATTTCAGAAGACTCTAAACTTAGTCATATTGTAATTTCAAATCTCGTGATGTGTGATTGAACGTAAAAATCGTGTTTTAATTCGTGGTTCAACAAGACCATCCTCGTACCCAGGTGGCCGTGGCACCAGAGTGTGAGAGAAAATAGCCTGGGTACGAGGTTGCAGCAAGACTAGGGGAGTTACATTATTATTATATTATTATTATGTGATGACACCATCAATTATCTCCTGATAATTTAAGCCTGGCACCAAAACTAAGAAATGTTCAAGACTCGCTTAATTCAAAAGTAATAAAGTGGAAAGTGTGGGAAGTTAGTAATTACAAGAGGCAAAATGGTAGAATTCTCGGAAATTAGACGAAAATATCTTATTTTCTCATTTAATATAGATCTGCATGTCAATTGTTGCTAATGTTTATTGATCGTCAACCTTTTCTTGTGGAGCTATTATCGTCAAGAAAATACAGGTATAATGTTTGGCTATCCTTGAATTGTCCAGCGATACTACACGATAAAACCATCTTTCTCGCATGGTGAAAATCATCTTACCTGGTGAAAACCTGCCCTGTTTGATAGAGTGCGATTGAAGTGAAATTATTATTGGAGATTGAACTGCATATTGCAGGAACTGTGGTGAAGGGCACGTGTTCCAACTGTTACAGTCATGTCGGTGACGTAGGCAGCGTGCGCCTATTTCTTTAGTTTCTTACCAATCTTAATTTTGTTTCCTTAGAGGTTTAAAAACGTATTTAAGCAAGTGGAAAGGTAAAGGTTTTGATCAAGATTTGAAGAAATTAACAGGAATACTTGAAGCTGGAGATATGGCGCATGCACAGTTGCTGGTACGTCTTCATTAAAATCTGAAGATATCATTGTAATGACCGAAAAGCCATTTTACCATATACTTTTGGGGTTGGTTGCACGAAGGCAGGATGATTTTTTCAACCGTTGTAAAATTGTTTGAAAAGTAATAAAACCACGAATTTAGATCCCACAATTAATAAAAGGAAACTTTAACTTTACCAAACTTTACCATAGTCTAATCTGGGTTGTACTGGTCAACGGCCAGTAGGCCAATTTAAGAAACCTTGAAAAAATCACTATCCAGCTTTCGTATACAACAGGCCCTTGCATTTCATCAGCGACTTACCTACGCACGACGTAACTGGCTAATCGTATGGTGTTATCTTTCCTGCATTTTGTAATTTCGCATCATGGTACTTCGAATATCTTAGTTTACAGTTTAAACACCATTATCTAAAACTGCCTATATATAGACATTACACATGGGTAAGCTGTTTTTAAAAAACACCATTCTGTTTAGAAAAAAGATCTAGCCGCGTCAATAATCCAGGCCTGTTACAAAGGATATAAGGAAAGACAAATGCTGAAGAAAATGAAAATTGGTGTGGTGAAATTTCAAAGACTTTACAGACGTTACAGGGCAATAAAACATGAAGAACGGACAGAAACAAGATGGAGACGGGAGAAGGAACTACACGAAGATATCTCGAGAAAGAGAGATTTTCGTCAAAGTTTAAATAAAAATCTTAAGACTCTGGAGTATTTACCTGCTAATAAAGTCCAGGAATATTTCATAGAAAAGCAGGAGGTTGCTGCTGTGAAGATACAAGCTGCATTTCGCGGAGTGTGGACGCGAAGACAAGTGACAGCGTGGAGATACGAAAGGATGTTTCAAGGTGCAGCGGTTGTTATACAAAGACAGGTACGCAGAGTTGTCTAGTTTGATTTTAGTAAATGTGACGAACTTGCTGATTATTACAGAGAGCTTAAATCGTCAACAACACGCTTGCAAAATCGAGGTGTTAAAGATAGCGACAGCTGTAATTCTTCCTTGAAATCATCAAAGTGAAACTGCATAGTGAAATGGAACCATGAACCAATAAAGAACCCGCGTATTATTCCGAATTTTATTATGGTGCTCTTCGGTTAGTGCATGTGCTTTTCACGTGTTTCACAACCACGGGGTTCGTTTCCTGCATTGGAGAGCTTTGGTAATAAATGAACTGAAAATAATCCTTTCAGTTAAATTAACTCTACACACATACATGTATATATGGCATATAGAGCTGATATAGCCATGCAGTAAAAATATAAAGTTTTAGTATTGGTAGAAATATCACTAATTCACACAACCATGCATTGGTGATTGTTTGCTTGAGAATAATTTTGTAATCATAACAAGTTGTTTACAATATTCTTCTGACCCTTGTGTGTGTGATGTTACTCTGAGTGTATATCCACACCGGGCAGGCTTGAAAAATATGCCTGGCCACGGTGGGATTCGAACCTACGACCTTTGGAATACCAGCCCAATGCTCTGCCAACTGAGCTACCCGGTCAGGTCGGTTCGAGTATGCGATATTTCGGAACTGAGTCTAGTTCCTTCGATATCAGTATAATCTAATAATCATGATATTTGCTGTGTTGGTGTAATGTACTCAGGTGAATAAGATGTTTGTGTGGTGTTACTCTGAGTGTATATCCACACCGGGCAGACTGCCCGGTGTGGATATACACTCAGAGTAACATCACACAAGCATCTTATTCACCTGAGTACATTACACCAACACAGCAAATATCATTCTTCTGACCGTTGTAAATAAATATAGCAGCTCTGGTCTTGGGCTCAACATGTCAATCTTGTACGTATATAAACCTTGCCACTCGTGTAGAAAACAATACAAAGTCGTCTTGTTTGTGATTCGTTTTTGTTCTTTAGTTCAGAAAGTATTTGAAAAGAAAGAAAAGTGCTGAGAAAATTCATTTTCAGTCAGGACCTCCAGGTCTTGACGATGTTCGCCGGGCTGAAATTCAGGAACAAATACTGCGTTACCGTGAAAATATGGTTGTAAGTGTATTTGTGAATTACTTGCTATGGTTAGTAATTAGATACAGAATAAATCGATTCCCATATGGATATGTTTCTGGATCAAAACACTTGGTACATTTTCTAATACATTGTAGGTACATGACTTTGCAGTAAGTTGTTTTTAATGAATAATTTCAGCATAAATCGTGGACGTTAGAAACAGTGAAGGAACGTCATTATGAGGTAAAAATAATACGATGAATGACTAATAATTTCATATGTTTTACCCAGTGGAATGAATATAACTGGAAAGCTATCTCCAACCATAAATTTGAAGCGAAAGCCAGTCCCAGTCTTTTCACTCATGCGAAGAGCACGGTCAAGCCGTCAACATGAACACAGAGTAGAGACATACAGAGACGCAACTCAGTAGTGTGAAAAAAAGTGGGTACATGATAACGTAATCTTCCGCAGTGTTTACGATGGTCAGTTACGTCTCTGTATGTCTGTACTCTGTGACATGAAAATGTATTCTTGAAAACGACACTGACGAGTGCTGTTTTCCAGTCGTACTACTGGAAGTTAAAAATGCACTCAATCCAGATATTTTTCAGAGCAACAGGATACCTACTCTCCACTTTATTCATCCATAGACACAAAGACTTTTGGGAAATCACTTAATGTTGTATGGTAAGGCAAGGAAAAGTGAACAAAGAAGAGAGGCGTTATTGGCGAAAATTAATGTGGATGCGGAGTTATTACTTGGTGAGATTCAAATGTTCAAACTGTCCAAAGAATCATCATGCAGTGACGTTTTCTTGTAACATTTTGTGATCTCGTTTTAGGATGTTTATATATAATTACGGTATAGGTCTCCAAGTCTTTTGCCCAGTCCTCGATACACCAGCAATCCTGGTCGAAATTATTTGGCCCATACTTTGTGATTTTTGCTCCTTGCGTGGTGTTCCGTTGTGCCCTGGTTATTAGGGAGCTTTAGATTTGACTACGAGTACGACTACGAGATTCGTCAAGCGAAACGCATGCTGTATGCTTACGCTATCCTGTACTGACGCGAAAAAGTCGTAGCCGTCGATCGCCCATCTGAGTACGAAATTGTGGAGAAATCTCGTGGTCCTCACGACGGCTTTTCAAAAAACAAAGAAAGTTGGCTTTTTTTTGTTTACCAAAAATAATTTGTAGCATTTATATAGCGTTTATCCGGCGCAAATAATATATTAGTACCAAATATCTGACCTGTTTTTAATGTTATGACTTATTTTCACGTTTTGTAGGGGATTTTAGTCTGCAGGAGATTTAGTTTATGAAACTTTTTCTCTCGTTGTTGGTTTACTGCTATAAAAGCAACATTTGAATGGAAACGAAAACGACTACGGTAATTTCTTCGCACGTGATCAAATCTCGTACTCGTAGTCAAATCTAAAGCTCCCTATTGACAGGGGAACGGTTGTACGAAGGCCAGATAACGCTATAGGACTGGCGAGTGATTTTTTAAGCATTCTAAAATTGTTAGAACCGAGATTAAACCGTATTTTGTAATATTTTGTAGCTTTCCTATCACTTTTACAACTGTTGAAGAACGCACTATCAAGTGGATAGTGCTATCCAGCCTTCGTACAGCCAGGGCCTCACAGAGAAATTCGAGGCCCGGGGCAAATTTTTAATTCGGGGGCCCTATTTCCCCCCAAAAATGTTGGCGAGCGGAGGAGGGGGGGAGGGAGGGTAAAAAATTTACTTATATAAAGAACGGTCCAAATACACCTTGTGGGACCCCCTATTGCAAATTTTGGGGGCCCGGGGCAAATTGCCCCATCCACCCCCCGTACAACCAACCTCGAGATTATATTAACAGGGCTACTGTTGCAAAAATAAGATGGGAGTAGAAATTTTAACAATTCAAGCATTTTCAATATTTCCTTGTGTGCTGATTCTCCCTCTAGGATCAGCGCAGTTGAAAGATGCAAATCCGGAGATGGTGGATATGTACACGTCTCGATCAACGCCAGTTATGACTAAGGCACAGTTAAACCACGCGGACGATATAGTGAATTTAAAATCACCATGGTGGAAAAAACTGTGGGATGGTGACGAACAACAAGTCATAGATATTTCAGAGAAGAATGAAGAACTGAACTTCTAGATTCCATGTAGTGCATACTACTGTTCCTAGTGGTAGTACAGAATGGACAACTTGCATGTTAGACTAAATTTTAATCTAAGCAGAGAAAAGGGAATCAAACACCACAGCTAAAAAGAACATACTGAAATTAGTAAAAGTGCAAAATTTGGTTGCGAAATGTTGTAAAGCTTGGAAAATATAGCCTTGCAAAGTTTGCAAATTTTCAAGTATATTTGTATTACGAGCGGAAATTGTTACCATTTTCGGCTCAAAAATGGTAACAATTTCCGCACGTAATACAAATATACTGAAAATATGCAAACTTTGCAAAGCTATATTTTCCAAGCTTTACAACATTTCGCAACCAAATTTTGCAAGTTTACTAATCTTAATACGTTCTTAACGGGAATTTACTTTTTTTTTTGCCTAGATCGGCTAGATCAAAAATATGTCTAACATGCAAGTTGTCTATTCTAGCAGGTGACTAAACATTAACAACCTCGTTATTTGGTCATTTGCTATTAAACAAAAGACTATCAAACAACGCCGGCTGATCACGGTTCCACCATACAATTTTGAAACGGCTCTACATTTCACAAATCCGTTCATTTCATGAAATGTTTGATAAATATAAATTGTTTGGGTACTTATAATGTAGAATAAACATTTTTCGTAAAGATAAATTTTCCAGAACAGGGGGGAGTCTTTTCGTAAAGATAAATTTTCCAGAACAGGGGGGAGTCTTTTTTAGCAGCATTAAAAATAGCTTGCGCGCGAAATTTAAAAGTTTAAAACGCATTTTGAGTTCATAGGCGAGGAATTTGCTGTGTTTTATCAATGGTCCAAATATCAGAAAATTTACTCAATTTGAAATCCTTTAAATAACTGCTGAAACTTTCATTTTTTGGCACCAGTGCCTATCACGCATGCTTAATTCATGCAAATAAGGTAAATGCATGAATTAAGCATGCGTGATAGTCATCGGTGCCAAATAATGAAAGTTTCAGCAGTTATTTAAAATTGAGTAAATTTTCTGAAATTTGGACCATTGATAAAACACATAACAAATTCCTCGCCCATGAACTCAAAATGCGTTTGCGAAATTCTGGAAAATTTATCTTTACGAAATTTAATATTTTTTGTTTATTCTACATTATAATTACCCAAACAATCTATATTTATCAAACATTTTACGAAATGAACGGATTTGTGAAATTGAAAGCCGTTTCGAAAACGATTTAGGACGCCAACGCGACGGCAACGGCTACCAATACAATAAATTATTGAAAATACTTAAATAATTACAATATATGAATAATTTAGACATTGTCAATCTGTTTGCAACGCCAAATCACAGATTTTCAAGTCTTGATAGAACGGCTGCATTTCAAGCCGCAACAAGTGCAACTTCAAACTGCTGGTAGTGCTGGGTTCAACAGAACTCTTCCCAACCATAAAACCCATGTTTTCAACTTCTAAGAATTATTTTTACTACCATTTATTTGAAGGAGTTTGTTTTGGCCGTCGTCGACGCGTTGCCGTCCTAAAATCGTAAGGTCTCTAATATCTAACCTCAACAGCCTACAGATCACTGGACATTTACATTAATTTATTTTAAACAATGTACAGTATTTATTCTATAATGTTCGAAAGAGAATATAAAACAAATTAGTTGAATATATATAATTTTCTTTGTGTTCATGCTCTAATCTTGTCTATGGCGAAGTAGTCACATAAACGAGGGTCACATAAATTTCTTCATTACCGGGAAAATGCGCAGTCAGTAGCGATATTTATTATATGGACAATGGTGTTTTACTGGAAACTAAAACACTCGTAGAACTCATGCGTCACTACATCCGGGACCAGGTGCGCGTATTTTCCGTATTTCATCCCTGCGAGTGACATACGAAGTTCGAAAATTTCCCGCCATTTTCATTGTTGTTGTTTCGAAAATACAAATGGTGTTTGGTTCGTATTTAATTAAAACGAAATTAACGTTGGAAATAAAACGAAAACATTTAAAAGAGATGTTGGGATAAGTAAAATTTATTCTAGTTTTATATTTGCAGTATAATTTTAAAAAATATCGCATTTACACTGCCACTGGTCTTTTGCGTGCTTATTTACATGTCGTCTTTGTGTGTATTTTTGTCACTCTGAGTAAGTCCATATAATAAACAGAACATTAAACGGTTGCGAGAAGATATGGATTTATGTTCTCGTGTCAAAAGCAATGTTCGCTGCGCTCACTCGTGAGATATTGTTTTTGCCACTCAAACATAAAATCCATATCTCTTCGCAACCGTCTAATATCCTATATATCTTGCGTTAGAGTGGAAGGCCTTAATGTTAGCTCAAGTAGTATACAATGTTAACTTTGATTCCATTTTCTTTATTTTATTACAACTTTATGAAAAACTAATATCAGTCGTTTTCTACTGTAGTTCAATTTAAAATTCATTACTTTATGTTACATACATAATACACCCTTTCGATAACTACGTCATGGACACTCCCTTGGCCTGGGAGCCTCGTTCTCGTAAATCAAGACGAAAGACTATTCGCACGCGATTCATGGGAACGAGGCTCCCGGGCCAAGGAGAGATTTGTTACGTAATTACCGACATATATACACATGAAGCAAACCCAACACTGCACAAGAAGGTCAGCCCGGTACGCTGAATATACGAATTCGAATCACGCTTGGGTCAACGGTAACCTACCAACCTAAAATGATCGTGACTTCATAAAACAATAGTGATCAGAGTTTATGACTCGTTCTTTAGAAAGATAATTTCTATAGTTCATTGTCTTTTATGTTATCATCAACCAATCATAAAGCCCGTTCATATAGGTTGGTGGCGACCCTGGGTATCTTGACAACGCAGTGTTGGGTTTTCTCATGAATATATTGTTATGCTAAAGAATATTAATTGAATTATACTCGCTCTATTGTTTACCATGTGCAATATTTTCTTTAGTAAAAGTAATCTGCCATCCTAAAATTTTCCTGTCAAATCCCGCAGTAAACAGATTATATCCTTTACCTGACATCTCCTCGCCCCAGGCCACGCTACTCACCATTCTCTGGTGGCTCTGAATAACAAAAAAATACCGTACATAACTCTGGGCAAGTTTCAGATGCACATCCTAGGAGTGATGTTATTTTTATAAATAATGTTATTCTCATATTTTGCTTTGTTATTTTTATAAGTGCTGTTATTTTTTTTATGTTATTAAAATAGCATTGACCCAGCATCATTGACTATCCTCCTTCGCAGGTAGCCCGCTCGCAGACGTTGTATTTCTTACGCCAAGCGCCGAAAAACTAACTTTCCGTTGCTTGGCGTAAGAAATACAACGTCTGCGAGCAGGCTACCTTCACAGGCATCTTTATGGGTTTTAGCCCGCGAATGATTAGATCGGATATAAAAGTCCCATTCGCGGGCAAAAATCAATAGAGATGCCTGTAGGGGGTATATATTTCATATCGGACCATGATATGAAAATGGTGTTTAATAAAAGATTTACGGTAAACTGAAATAGTTTAACCGACTTTAGATATTTGGATATCCTTTTAGCCGTGTGATAGGATGTTGATGGTCGTGCAGGTGGTAGTCATGATGATGAACGTTACAATGAGGTGATAAACAATTTTACGTTTAACATTGAACATCCAGATAGAACATATGGATAGAACAAGGCATTAAAATCAGTATTACTTACATATCTCCTCCTGCGAGGAAGATGCATGAGTCGGAATCCAGAGAGATCAAGAAGATGAACATGACGATTATCGTGTGGAATGGCGATGATATTCTGATCTGACGACACCGATAACCTAAGTAATGCATGAACACATTTAAAAATTTTTGAACACAAGATGTAATACATTAAACTTGATACAAAGTGCCCTTCACCGAGGAGCTGCAATATACTACAAACAGTAAGGTGTATTAGAAAACCCACCTGTTAACGGAGGAATCCAGACGTATGGTAGTTAATGGTGCTCTCATGTTTTTCAAATCCCAAACCTAACAAAAATAATAATTGATCATAAATGCAACTATGTATGATCCAGGCTAGCTCAGACAATTTATACATATAACGAGGTACTGTATCTGTGGTACGATGGCCGGTAAATACGATATGCCTTCACTTGGACAAGCGGCGATCTATTTCTTCAATATATAAAGTTGCCTGACCTGTTTATTTATCAGTCCCATGTGAGAAGAGGACTTCCAATGAGGGTGTCGTTCTCTTAATGTGTTATTATTGTTTGTCAAAGTGTAGGTGCATTTGAATAGAAGGATAAATTGCAGAAACAATGGTATATTATAATTAATAATTAAAAAATATTGAATTTAACAGTTAGAACCGAGGGTTAACCATTTAAACAATAATAAGGCTGTCCATGCAGCGTATGGTTCAACATAAAACTAAAGTTTAGTTCTTTTTCGATGAAACACTACAGGATTTAATATACCAGAGCATACATGCAACATTTACGGCTAAAAACAAATGACTGGACAAAACGACAATGAGTATTTATCGCCTATACCCAGTATTAACTTTATGAAGACTGATTGGGAATGCCAATTAATGCAAAAATCTGTCGTCATTCGCGGCATCCGTGACATCACTTGCAACCGGTCTAAGCTTGTAACTTAAGAGAAACAATGGTTTACGCTTTTTCAATTAAATATTGTTAAACCTACGAAGCGGAGGACTAGCTGCGATGATCTGGTTTGGAATACGCAATTACACGCGCTGATTAAATAACCACACTTAAGGTGGCTCCCTACTGTTTTTCGTCAAGAGGAAAAACAACGGTGACCCCAATTTTTTATGTTAAACATTTTCAATTAGTAAAATAATTACAAACCCAACTTTTAAAAAAATCGCCAGTGTAGAAATTTTTTAATTGCAAAAAACACGTCTTATTAAATTTTTAAAAATCTACACTGGTGATTTTTTTAAAACGTTGGCTTCATAATTATTTTCACTAATCGAAAACGTTTAACAAAATAGAAAATGGGGGTCATCGTTTTTTTCGAGTTAAATTAGTTTAAAGCCATGGTTACCATAGGTTGGGTAGTGACACCATTTTTGGTAAAAATTTCATACTCTTCGTGTAGTATTTTCTATAGCTCAGATACTATTTGATTTTCAACAAGTAACAATTGTTAAAAAATTCCGCCCTAAATCGTAAATTTTCCAGTTGCCAAAAACAGTAGGGAGCCACCTAAAGACAAAATTTAGTCACATTGTCGTAAAACATTTGGTATATAATATAGTATCAAGTTTCAAGATACAAAAATTTCCAACCAACCTTGACTGTGCGATCATCACTTCCACTCACGACAACATCTTGATCAGTGAATACGGCCGAAGTTACAGTACTAAAAGTAAGAAACAGAGTTGATATGATTACTTGTGCAGTTTTCCATGTTTGCACTAACTTCTGAGAACCTTGAAGAAGGTTGGAAGAACTCTCAAGCACTCTCAACATTCGTAGTAATTTCATGATCGATAGTAGATGACAGGTTTTCCTTGCAATAATTTAGTTCAATGAGTTTTGTTTGGTTAACTCAGCGTTAGCGATCGTGTAATCATCCCCCTCCCCCCGTACGATCCCCTACGCGTACATATATAGTAAACTATGAGGTCTATGTTAGTTTACGTTCGTCACTGTAGCTTTTTCGGGTTAAAATAGGAAACTTGCACTAAGAGGAGTGATGTTTCAGAAAACATGTCGGAGTTTTGGTAGAGAAAACGATGACATTGTAGCCGGTCAAGTGACTGAACTGAAATGTTTAATACATATATAAAAAATCGTCTCGAAAACAAACACTTTTTTAAACAATTTACACACGAAAAGTTTACACCTTTGTTCAGTGAGCTCATTGGCTTTGTTCAGGCCGCCAAAGGTTTTGAGGTTTTGGCAAAAGATATTGCGTTCGAAAAATATTTCGTTCACGCCTAGCCAAAACTTTTGTATTAGTCACCATTTAAAATATTGCCGTTCTCTCTTAGTTAAGTAAGTAGTTTGAAAACCAACATTTCAGAATATAAATAAAACACCACTTAGTGTCATGGACGGAGGTGCAGGGGGTGCACACCCCCCAAAAAGGTTTTCCCACCCCCACCTAGATAAATTCCCTCCCCCCCTAAAAAAAATATAAATTTAAATGCTCATTGGGATAAATGACAGTAGTGTGATTGAAATAAAGATTTCGAACTATGTAAGACTTTTAAAAACAAGTATTTTGAACTAAATAAGACCAAAAATGTCAAAATTTTCCTCAGAGCAAAATCTGAAAATCCGTCTATGCTCAGTATGTTTTGCTAGTGTATCCATATATCTACTATAGTGCAAGTCGCCTATTATAAAAACAACTCATGGAGTCGGATTTTGTATCTGTGATAGACTGGCAGTGCATGCTATACTTGACCTCACTGCAAACTCGGGTGACGTTTTTTCCCAGTCTCTGCATCTAGTTTGCACTCGCGGTAGTCAGATGTGGCGTGATTTTCTCGCTCATGCGTGTGATTTAATACGTGCATATCTTTTCTCAAATTCAGGCTTTCATTGATGTTTCCTATATAAAATGTTAAAATGGCCTGTGTCCCAATTTCTAGTACAACGCACTGCTAATGTAACTGGCTACACATATGTATATATAAAAAGCAAAAATACAAGAATAAACAAACTTTGTATGTCCTTGAAAAACACTGACGGAATGCAACGAAGGTGTTCTAAAATCCCATAAACGAAATGTCGAGTCGTGAGATGCCGTCACGATAAGATCTTGACTACGATGAGAACACGTGTGAGTTAATTCGTCGTCATGACCTAAGAAAAGCAAAATAATTCTTCAAAATACCCAAATCCCCTTTTCTACACTTTCGAATTTATTTAGTACTTTTCCTCAACAATGTCGAACTGAACAGAAATTGCGTTGCCCATGCAAACGAAGTTTGGCATCGCTTTATATTCACGCACTGTGCGTGAGTTTGTTACTCTGTTGGTTTGTTCAGGATCATATAGATACGCCTCATTATTCATTCAAAAATAGTAAGTCTTCGCGTTTGTGGTGCTCTTGTTTTGCATGCTCCAGGGCACCGCAGTGTAGTATTTATGTTTGGTTCGAAAAAGTAATGGCAACTACGAGTACAAATTGTGCCAAAAATAATAAATACTGATACCTGTAAGGGTTTGTATAACTGTACTTTGTTCAGCATCCCAAAGTTTGGCTGTGTTATCCCATGATGCTGTGACCACTCTTTTTCCATCCGGTAACCAATCAACAGCCATTACAGCACCTTCATAAATATTAACAGGAATATGTTAAAACGCTTCTTCTACATTTCAGCGATAGCCCTGCGAGTCTTGGGCTGGTCAAGATAATTATGGTACTGTACATTTACACTGTTTACATTGCAACAAGGCTTGGCTTAGGACAGGCCTAGGCCAATGATCGCAAATGGGCCCAGATTTTCTGGCCTACGTCAGGCCATCAGATTAGTCCCCGTAACGCAGGGGGTGTTTTGCTCCTCCGAGACGAAAAACATCGTCTGCAGACCCGAGAGAGAATTCCAACAGAAAATGGTAGCCCGCGGGACATTTACGCGTGAATATATATCAAAGACATAGATGAAGGCTATATTCGAAAAAAATCGGTAGATTTTTAGTAAACGAGGAATTTCGCTGGTCACTTATATACAGTACGACTGCATTACGTCATTGAAATATGATTCTATCTCGGGTCCGCAGACGGTATTGTTGTCGAAACAAATTTGCTTCCCAGAAACAAACTACTTTTCAACTTAATTAACAATCATATCACTGATGGTAAGAACATGCATTGAGTCAATCACCGATGTGAGTTTTGTTCTGGAAACAATTTTTTGTTTCCTGGTTTGCCCTACAGTAGGTTTGCCCAGGGCTTTACAATACATAAATAATAGAATACATACAGAAGCACGTTTATATAATAACTACTGTACAGTGAAACACGCAATTTGCATGATTGGTCAAATCCGTGCAGGATCAGACAACCCTGCACGGAAAATTTAAATGCCTGCGCGCGGGC